AAGCTCCGCCTAATATTTGGGTGTGGGTCTCTGCATCTGCTCCCACCAGTTGCTGGATGAAGCCTCTCTGATAACGATCGGGCTAGGCACAGATCTATGAGTATAGCGGAATGTCATTAGGAATCATTTCATTGACTTTTTTTTTGGTCAGTCATGTTTGGTTCCATCCTAGGTCTCTGAGCCATCTAGCTTCCTGTTCCTGGCCATCCACAGCCCACCTTCTTATAGAACCCAGGACTATCAGCCCAGGGATGACGCCACCCACAATGGACTGGGCCCTCCCCCATTGATCAGTAATAAAGAAAACGCCTTACAGCTGGATCTCATGGAGTCATTTACTCAACTGAGGCTCCTTCCTCTTTGATGATACTAGCTTGAGTCAAATTCACATAAAACCAGTCAGTACATAAATATATCCTCATCCCAGATTAGCACGCTACTGAAGACTCCACGGTGGAGTCCATAGGGCCATCTTGGACAGGAAGTCCTAAAGAAGGCAGGGAAAGCCTTTAAGGAGAGGGTGCAGGGCAGGACAGGGAACAGGCTGTCAGTGTATCTGGCGTGCATCATCTCGCAGGAACGCCACAAGCAAACCTTCGGAGGCCAGGATTCAGAAGGACCCTCTAGTGTCCGTGCTCCAGGGTCCTGGGTGACAGCAGCTATGAGACAACCCAGCTCTTTTTTTACACCCCTGCCCCTGAGTGGCTCTCCAGAGAAACAGGGGTAATTGGGGTTTACAAGAATTTCAGCTCTTCACCAGGTATGCCCCAAACTGGAGAGAAAGGTGTCTTGAGCTAGGCCATGAGCCTCGGGAAGCAGAGGGTCGGACAGGATGGACAGACATTATTGAGGAAATAAGACAAAACACAGGCCTGCAGAGCTGGGGAAAGACCCAAGCAGGAAAGGGAAGGGTGGCGTAGGGGTGCAGTCTGGAAGGGTTGTTGTGGGGCAGGGGGCCTGAGGCAGTACTCCCCATCCCCCACCCCGGGAGGGGGCTGCAAATTAAAATGAGTGTGTGGCCCTCGGACAGACCTGGGATCTGGGTGGGGCTCAGGAGCACAGTGTGGGGCCACATTGTGTTCACGGTGTCTTGAGGCCAAGCAAGGCAAGGCTGAACAAGAGGTAAATCGAGTCTCAGAGCCTCCCAGCCGGGCCCGTCTTCCCCTCCAATTACAGAGGACAACCCTAGGCCCTGCCGAGCTCCTGGACACAGGGCCTTTCCAAATGGTGGGCCTTCTCCATTTGCACATCATGAAGCAAGCCCGCTGGTAAGGAGCACACCTCCCAACCCCCTCCAGTCTCTTTCCATCTCTCTTCCGTGAGTATGTCTCTTCATGCAGCTGAGGATCACCTTGATTCTCCTGCTCCTACTTCTCAAGAACTGGCTTACAGGAGTTTATATGCCTCCACAGCTGGCTTGTGGGGAGCTGGGGGTGGAACCCAGGGGTTCCTGCATTCTAGGCAAGGACTCTAGCAACTGAGTTGCAGCCTCAGCCTGAGGCCCTCTCTGTTTTTTTGTTTGCTTGTTTGTTTTGTTTTTTAAAAACTTCATATGGCCAGGCGGATCTCTGTGAGTTCGAGGCCAGCCTGGTCTACAGAGTGAGTTCCAGGACAGGCACCAAAACTACACAGAGACCCCTGTCTTGAAAACAAAACAAAACAAAACAAAAACCCCAAAATTTCATGTGTTGTTTGTTTTTTGAGGCAGGGTTTCTCTGTGTATCCCTGGCTGTCTTGGAACTCACTCTGTGGATCAAGCTGGCCTTGAACTCAGAAATCCACCTGCCTCTGTCTCCTGAGTGCTGGGACTAAGGGTGTGCACCACCATGCCCAGCTGTATTTATTTATTCATTGATTTACGTTAAAAACATATTTTTAGAGATTTATTTATTTATGTGCATGTGAATGTAGGTGCCTGCGGAAGCAAGAAGGAGGTGTCAGAGTCCCTGGAACTAGGGTTTAGGTGGTTGTGAGCTGCCTGATATGGGTGCTGAGAACCAAACCCCGTCCTCTGTAAGATGGGTCAGTCCAAGCATTAACCACTGAGCCAACTTTAGCCCAGATGGTGTCTCCATGCAACGGACCAGAAAGAATGGGTCAGGTGGTGGCTCAGAGCTGTCCTGTGACGGCACGAACCATTCCATCTCAGAGATACGCTTGAGCACAAGTGCATGTGTACACGCACAAGCCTGCACACAGAAGCATGCATCAATGCAGGCTCACATTTATCCATGCAGATGCAGGCTGCACATCTGCCTCGCTCCTGCCCTGTCTTCCTCAAAGGCTTCCTGAAACAGCCCTGTCTTTGTCTTCCTGTCCAAGACGGCCCCACTGAGTGGGTTCCATGAAGACATCTTCGCTGGGGCACTAGTCTGGGTGAGGATATATTTGCACTGGGTGGGTGGGTGGGGCAGGCCAGGGACAGGAAATGTGTCTCCATGGCACAGCCGCACCTTCCTGGGAGGAGGAGGGGGCGAAGACCTCCCTATGGTCCCTCTCCCTCTCCTTTGTCCCCCTGGAGAGGACGAGCAGGCTTGCCAAGTCTTCCGCAGGCCCTGCTTCCCTTGGGCCCTTACCAAGTGACGGCCCGGGACCTCTCAGCAGCACCACAGCTGAGCAGCCATCAGGGAAGGCAGTTGTATGGTGACTAGAGCAGAAATGGGTGCGGACGGGCCCAGAGCAGGACCAAATGGCCAGTCCGTCCTGGCCCCACCTGTGGGTGCCCACGGCCTTTCTCCTTTTCTGCATCCGAGAGCAGGGCCCAGGGAGTGTGGGGGCCTGTGAGCTGCCAGAGAGCCCCACCCTTCTGGTCTTGACCTGCCTCTGTCTGGAGGACCTAGATTTGCATGATCCCAAACGCCTGTGCTTTGTGTTCCTCAGGAGGCACAGGAAAGGTGTGGTGGTAGCAGCAGGAGGCAGAGGGGAAGAGTCCATGGGGAAGGGTTGTTGGGATTCAGCAGGCCATACTCAGCTGGGTGTCCTTAGGTGAGGGCGGTGCTGAGTTTGGAGACCTGGGTGGCTGGGAAGTAAGAGTCCTGTGGATACATCAAAGTCCAAAGAGTCTAATCAGGGCCCTGGATAAGGAGCAGGATCCGGACCTGATCCAAAAGTCCCAAGCTAAACATTGATAATGAGCTCAGGACCATCTGGCGAGGCCTAGGCCTTGCCACCAACCCCCAGGGAAGCCTCAGCTGGGTGGCCCTGCCAGGCTTGCCCTGCCAGGCTTGCTTGGGTCTGTATGGGTGTGCCTGGCTCTTTCTGAGCTCAGGTGTGCTTGTGGTGGCTTCCTGGGATGTGATGGGGCCAGGGATGTGTTCAAGGAGAAGAATAGAGAGCCTGCATGGGAAATTTCCTGAGAGATGCCCTTGACAAGAATGGGAAGACATACAACTCAGATATGGAGGTTCTAGCTCTGTACAGAATGAGAAACTGAGGCCTGGAGCAGGCAAGGGACCGATGGTCTCAGAGGGTCTTCATGTTCTACATGGGGACAGCACAAGAAGGATCCAGAGGCCTCAAGTGACCCCATAGGTGTTCTGTCAGAAGCTCTCCTTGGGGACCTGCTTTCTGAAATATGCAGGGTGCAGAGACCCTCCCCCTCTCTAGAGTAGCTGAAGCTGAGGCCCTGATGGCCGAGGAGGAGTTCCCAGAGTCCTCTATGCTGGAGTCCCTCAGGCCTACTGTGGACATCACTGTGGTCTCAGCCTTAGCATTGATACCCTAGTTTCTGAAGTCCAAGGTGTCCTGGTGCTGCCACCCAGGCCATCCTCGGACAGCAGAGGTCAGACTGGAGGTTCAGGCTGCTGATGTGGAGCCCCACAGAGCCATGCCTGGCCTCCAGGACAGCGAGGGTATGGCAGAGGACACGCTCCGGCTCCAGGGATGGGACACAAGTGCCCAGGGTTTGTCCTCTGGGTCTCTTGCTAGGGTCTGTTCCTTCCCCCATATTCCCTCTCCACTTCGGGAAGTGAACCCTTCTTCCAGTCCCAAGCCTCAGAGGCCTCCTCACTTCTGTCCTCCACTCACAGCCTCTGGGTCCCCACAGCAATGTGGGCATCATTGGTCAACGTCCCATTAGGTTTACCATCTCAGTGGAGGGGAGGTGTCAGCATACAGAATCAGGGCACAAACATTTAGTTCCTTAACAACTCCCGACGTCTGCCTCCGCCCCACTCCCTCCTCAGCCCTGCCATCCACCCCAGTTACACCCTATGTCACATGGCTCCTGCTCAGGACCCTCCAAAAGCATCCTTCTGCTCTTGGATACAGTCCACCTGCCACTGGCCCACGTGTCCTGTTTCTGCAACCCCAGCCTGTGTCTTCCTCTCTCTGCAACAGGCTTCCCTGGTCTTTTCTGCCCCTTCTTCCATGAACTCAAGTCTGTTTGTCCCATGCCTACCAGGACCTTTGCACCTGCAACTCCCTCTGCCTGGAATTTCCTTCCCTCAGCTATTCCTCAGTCTGTCTTGCCACTCACATCTCTGCTCCAATCTAACCTCCCCGAGGTCATTCTTGACAGTGGAATGCAGGACTGTGAGGGCGAGGTCTCATCGTCTGCATCAAGGCGAGGTCCCCAGCCAAGTGCCTAGTACCCTAGCAGGTAAATGCTCAATAAATAGTTTGTTGGACGGATTGATGGATGAGCACTTGCACTGGACTGAACCCCAAGCCTCCTCACCACCCACAGCCTGGCCCCCGAAGGCCATTCACAGGTACACGGATCCATATTCCATAGACCACAGAGGGAGGTCGCCCCAATTTCCCTGCTCACCCCAAGCCCCTCCTCAGCGCCTCCCCACCTACTTCTTTGCTCTCAACAGTCCAGGCTCTCCTCTCTCAGCAGGCCAATTGCTAGGCCCACACCCTCCTCTCCTTCCCCAAATCTACAAGATCAGGGCCCACCTCCTTCAGGAACGCTCCCATATCAGCTGGCTGTTGCTATGAAAACCACAACAAGGGTAAGCTCATGCCGTGTATCAGTAGCCACTGAGAATTTTATGTGCCTTTGTGTGTGTGTGTGTGTGTGTGTGTGTGTGTGTGTGTGTGCAGCACGCGTGTGCATGCACACGTGTGTGAGGGATGTGTGCACGTGTGTAATTCTTGGCTCCAGTGGATGTCCGATGTCTTCCTTAATTTTTGTGCAGATTAATTTCTGAGACAGGCTCTCTCACTGAACCTGGAGCTCACTGATGCTGCTAAAATGACTGGCCAGCAAACTCCAGCGACCCCCCTGTCTCTGCCTCCCTGGTACTGGGAATGCAGGTGTACTGCCGCACTTGGCTATTTATGTAATTGCTGGGGGTTGAACTTACATGTATGAAGCCAGTATTTTACCCACTCAGCCATCTCAGTTCTCAGGTGCATTTTTTTATTTTACTCAGCAACTTTCTAGGTACCAATCATTCCCCATGACAGTTGAAGAAATGGATTCAGAGTGGTTGAGGGGTAGGCCTGAGGACCCCAGCTGTCAGAGACATGGGCACATCTTCCATAACCCTGTGCTTTTAAAGCTTCGTTTCTCCACCTAGACAAAAGCTTTGGGGAGTCTAGGCTTTGTTAGGGCTTACCTCACACAGTCCCTTTGTATCCTGGACGTCCAATGTTTACTTGGGAAATCAAGGCCACTGTACCTGTGTACACTGGGCCTCACCCCCCATGGATCAATCTGTTGACATGTTCCTAGGCAAAGGGAGACAAGGAGCCTCCGGGAACACCTGGTACCTCTCCCCCACCCCCATCCTGCAGGCCGATGCCCTCCATCCATAGCCTCAGCTCCTCCTAGCACTGCAGGGCTGCTCCCGTCCAGTGCCCAGAGTCCAGAGCAGAGCAGCCATCTCACTGGTCACATTCCTTCCCTGGTGAGTGAGAGGCTTTGGTTCTCATCTCTCCCTGCCTCCCTCTGTCTGGGACTAACCTGGGGGGAAACTGGGGCAGGCCGAAGGACGGACAGCAGGAGGAAGGAGGCAGCGGAGAGTCTTCCCCCAGCCCGGCCCCCCAGGGCTGAAGAAAGGGATGGAGAAGACACAGCCGCCAAGGCCACAGGTTCAGTGGGAGTGCCACATCCTGCACTGTTTGAAAACAGTGATCATGGTAATAACACCTCACATCTGGCACGAGAGTGATGCCCTTGACCCCCCTGACCTCCCAGGTCCTCTCCAGGGCATTCTGCCAGCAGTGTTCATCCTGGAGAAACAGGGCCCGGAGAGGTGTCTACCCAAAGAGCAGGACAGGAGACAGAGAAGGTGCCACTGTGACCAGGGTGCTTTCCTGCCCATCCCCAGCACAGAATGAACCAGGGCCACTAACAGGGATACTGAAGCCAGACTCTCATGGCCCAGCCCCTGTGAAGACACCCTTCCCAGGCCCTTTCTGAAACCCCAGTCCCCATGCCTAGCGTCTGTCATCTCCATGCCCATAGCAAGAATCAGTGCCACTCAACCCCAGGGCGTACTCAGAGGGCTGAGAGGCAACACCTGGATGCAGGGAGTTTGATTTGCCAGGAACTCCTAAGCTAGATGGAGTTGGGGACAAGGATCTTGGCAGGTGTTTATATGGAAAAAGAGAGGATGGTTTCAGGCCAGGTTGGAGTTCGAAGAACCGGGAGTAAAATGAACACTTAGGCTCTGTGTTGGTTGAATTGCAATGTCCAAAACAGGGCAGTGCTTGGTTGGAGGTAAGTGAAGGTCAGGCCTGGGTGCTGCTTTCGGCCACGGCTCAAACAAGAGCTCAGAAGGCATCCTGGGAAGAACCAAATGCAGGTGACGGTGGCACCAGACACCGCTTACTGAGCACCTAACTGCAAGGCATGGTTAATGTTGGCGGGACAGACATTTTCTCATGTGACTCTTGCAATAATTCCTGGAGGGAGGGACTGTTATTATCCCTATGTGACCGACGAAGAAATGGACGCCAGGTGGTCAAATGGTGCCACTGAGTCTCAGGGCTCAGCACCCTGGGCAGACAGGTCTGCCTTGGTCACTGGGTGGAGAGGAGAGAGGACCTCTGAGGTGGCGACCCTGTCCCTGGAAGGGCTTGCACGGACTGGATGACAGACTGGTGAAGGGACCTGGCAGGCACACACGTGCTGGGATTCCAGCTGGTTGCCACAGTTAATCCTTTTTTTGGGGGGGCGGAGGTTTAGTTTCTTGAGACAGGGTTTCTCTGTGTAGTCCTGATTGTTCTGGAACTCACTCTGTAGCCCAGGCTGGCCTCAAATTCAGAAATCTGCCTGCCTCTGCCCTGAGTGCTGGGATTAAAGGTGTGTGCCACCACCTGGTGGTTAATTCAGTTTTTAAGATTTTCTTTTACTGTGGTGGTGGTGGTGGTGGTGGTACATATCTTTAATCCTAGCACCTGGGAGGCAGGGGTAGGCAGATCTCTGTGAGTTCGAGGCCAGCCTGGTCTACAGAGCAAGTTCCAGGACAGGCTCCAAAGCTACACAGAGAAACCCTGTCTCAAAAAGCCAAAAAATTAAAATTAAAGTAAAAAAATTGCATTTATTTACGTCTGTGTTACATGTATGTGTGCCCACAGAGGCGGGGGAGAGGGTGCCGGATCCTCTGGAGCTGTAGTTACATGAGGTGTGAGCTGACCAACATGGATGCTGGGAACTGAACTTGGCTGTTCTGCATGAGCAGGATGTGCTCTTAACCGCCAAGCCATCTCCCAGCCCTGTGCTGGTCAACCTTGATTGCCAACCTGACAAAGTTTAAAATCACCTAGGGGACAGACTTTGGGGAATGTCTGCGAGGGAGTCTCTAGGTTGGTTAGTTGAGGTAGGAAGGAGGAAGGTATGACCCACCATACATGTGGGCAGCACTGGTCATGGGTTGGGGTCCGGAGACAGGACAAGGAGGAAGTGAGCTGACGACCATCAGCTCCTCACTGAATGGATGCCGCGGGAAGCCGCCCTTCTTCCCTGTGCCACAAACTGTGACCTTCCTGTGTACAGACACAAGCCCTCCTGACTAGAGGCCGCACCCTTCCATCACCTGCTTTTGTCAGGTATTTTTTTGTTGTTGGTTTTGGTTTTGGGTTTTTTTTTTTGGTTTTTTTTTTTTGGTTTTTTTGTTTTGTTTTGTTTGGTTTGGTTTTTTCCACACAGGGTTTTTCTTTAGCTTTGGAGCCTGTCCTGGAACTCACTCTGTAGCCCAGGCTGGCCTCGAACTCACAGAGATCCGCCTGTTCTGCCTCCCGAGTGCTGGGATTAAAGGCGTGCGCCACCACCCGGCTTTGTCAGGTATTTTTGTCACAGCAACGACCTGTAACTAATACTTGTGGGCTGGGATATGGCACCCTGCTCACCCTGGCCCAGCTCTTCTCCACCACACACTGCCATGGCTTTTAGCATGACCCTTTCCCTCTAGTAGGATCTCACTTTAAGGTACTTGTCGGAGCACCCAGTGCTCGGGATCCTTTAACCTGACCTGACCTGAGAGGTCCTCCTACCCACAAGGAGAAATCAGGGCAGGCAAGGTCAAGCCTCCCACACACCTGCCCTGGCCCCTCCCATGGACAGAGGGAGGGAGCTGTCCCTGAGGATGTACAAGAGAGCAGGAGCAGGGTGGGTCTGCGGCTGCTGGACAGGCTGGGAGGAGCAGGGGCCTGGAATTTCAAAGGCTTTCTAAGTGGGGGGCACTGGAATGTGGTTCTACGAAGAATGGAGTCATTTGGGCATGGGGAGCCGTTCCCAGTGAGGCCGGGCCTGGCCCAGAGCAGGGGTGGGATGGGGTAGGGAAGACACGCGGCTGGCATGCAGCCCCGGCACAAGCCCGTTATTAACTCTTAGCCTGAGGTGAGACTCTTCACCTCCCGGCCTGTTTCCTCTCCTGGACACAGCGATAACAAAACCTGCCCGGTGAGGCCTGGCAGAGATAAATGGTCTCAGCCTCTGTGGAAAGCCGCGCTGTGTGCGTTCGGTGAGGCCTTGTTATTACACAGGGGAGGACCTCTCCGGTCTGACCTGAAATGTCACTCAGACAGGATGCTGGATCCTGTCCTTTCCTGAGGGAAGCCCAGGGGGCCAGCGGCGCCTGCTTCTAAAGAAGGGAGTGTTCATCCGCTAATGTTGGCTGATGATTTTTGGACGACATGGCTGATTCCATCTAAGCTCCAGCCCTGACTGTTGAGGGACAGGTCCCACCACAAGGGCAGCTGTTGCCCTCCTGGGCACGGCGCCCATTCGCCTGTCCATCCCTTCCTGTAGGAAAGCAGTGCTCCCACACTCTACCCTGTCCCCGGGAGAGGAACATTCCTGGAGTAGATGTGGGTCAGGGGCACAGGGGGAAGGCTGAGGTCCCCACTGGGCTGGGCTCCCGTTTCTGGGCCTGTGTCTTGGACTTTGCCACTGAAGCGATGCTGGCTGGTTCTGGGGGACCCAGGGAAGTCAGGGAGCCTTTGGAACCCAGAGAACAAGGACAAGGCTCTCTAAAGGAATGCAGCAAGTCTGAAGTGGGGGGCCTCAGGAGTGGGGCCAACTGTTGTCGTCATCCTCAGGAACAGCTGGGCTCCTTGCTTTTCAGACAGGACCTTACTATGTATCTCGGCCGGGCTGGATTTGCTGTGCAGACCAGGCTTGAATAAAACTCAGAGGTCCGCTTGCATCTACCTCCAACGTGCTGGGACTAAAGGTGCACGACACCATGCTTGAAATCTGTCTACTTTCTAAGTGGAACCCCGTTCATCATCTGGCTGGCTGCGTGTCC